CTTGACACCTGACACCTGGCACCTGACACTGATACACAACACCTGACATCCAGACCCCTGACACCTAACACTTGACACCTGACACTTGACACTTGACACCTAACACCCAGACCTCCTGACACCTAACACTTGACACCTGGCACCTGACACTCACCGGGAAGTGATTGAGAGGCAGCGGATGGTCCAGGGTGATGACCACAAGATCTGCAACGTTGACGCGGGTGGGCCTGGGGAAGGGAGAGAGGAAGGGAAGACGCGGAAATTGCCTGTCTGTCTGTCTGTCTGTCTGTCTGTCGGTCTGTCTGTCTGTCTGTATCTCTGTCTCTATCTCTCTCTCTCATTCTCTGCTGTTTCTGTTTCTGTTTTTCTGTTTCTCTCATTCTCTCTCATTCACTTCTCTCTCTCTCTTATTCCCTTTCTTTTTTTATTCTCTCTCTCTCTTATTCTCTTTCTTTTTTTTTTTATTCTCTCTCTCTCTCTCTCTCTCTCTCTCTCTCTCTCTCTCTCTCTCTCTCTCTCTCTCTCTCTCTCTCTCTCTCTCCCTCTCTCTCTCTCTCTCTCTCTCTCTCTCTCGCTCTCTCTCTCTCTCTCATACACACACACACACACACACGCACACACACGCACACACACACACACACACACACACACACACACACACACACACACACACACACACACACACACACACACACACACACACACACACACACACGCGCGCGCGCGCGCGCGCGCGCGACATAGAAAACGCACCTGTACTTGGGATGAGGAGTAACTCTAGCAATTCTCCTCGTCGTCTCCTCCGTCTCCCAGCTCGTCTGGAGGTTGTGGTCCGCGACAGTCACCCTCAGTCTCTTCAGAACTAAGCTGGAAGGTCGTGTTCATTAAAAAAAAAAAAAAGATAATGAGTTAGGGTAGTAATGATAATGGTGATCATGATGGTAATTATGATGGTGATAATGCTAATGGTAAGACTGTTGATAGCGATGATATTGATGATGATGATAATAATAATGATGGTAATGGGGATGATAATGATAATGATGATGATGATAATTATAATAATAATAGTAATCGTTATTATTATTATTATTATCATTATTATTATTATTATTATTATTATTATTATTATTATTATTATTATTATTATTATCATTATTATTATCATTATCATTATCATCATCATTATCATTATTATTATTATTACTATCATTAGTGTTATTATTATTACTATTATTATTGATATTATTATTACTATTATTATTGTTATTATTATTATTATCATATTTTTTATTATCATTATCATTATCATTATCATCATCATCATCATCATCATCATTATCTTTATTATTCTTATCATTGTCATTGTTATTAGCGTTATCTTTATCACTATCATCATCATTTTCATTATATTATGCTCATTTCATTATCCTTATTGTTAATGAGTCTGTTGCCGCATCATGAAAAGTGTCCAAAGTAATGTTATTAATATCAATATCATTATTATCGTCACAGCTAGCGTTATCATCAAGTATTATTATTATCATATTCCCTTTCTCCTCCTCCTCTTTCTACCCCTACTCTTCCTCCTCTTCCTCTTCCTCTTTCGCTTCCATGTCCTCCTCCTTCTCGATATCATCATCAGCACTATTATCACCATCCTCCTCCTCCCTCTCTTCTTCCCCCACCTCTTCTTTCTTTCTTCCTCCTCCTCCTCTTCTTTATCAGCCTCACACTCATCATCCTCACCGTCCTCCTCCTCTTCCTCTTTTTCTTCCTCCTCCTCCTCTTCCTCCTCTTCTTTGACCTCCACCTCCTCCTCTTCCTCTTCCTCTCCCTCCTCCTCCTCCTCCTCTTTCTCTTATTCTTCCTCTTCCTCCTTCTCCTCCTCCTCCTCTTTCTCTTTTTCCCCTTCCTCCTCCTCCTCCCCTTCCTCTTTTTCTTCCTCTTCATCCTCCTCCTCCTCCTCCTCCTACTCCCCCTCCTCTCCCTCCTCCCCCTCCCCCTCCTCCCCCCCCCCCCCCCCCCCTCCTCCCCCCCCCCTCCTCCTCCTCCTCCCCCCCTTCCCCCTCCCCCTCCACCCCATCACTCACCCACTCATGCAATGCGCCGCCGTCAGTACGTGCGAATCGGAGACGATGACAGCCCCGCAGATTACCTTCTTCATGTTACTGTATCTGAGATTAGCCATCCACGGGTACTGGTTCACGGCCGGTGTGGAGCCCCCGATGATGCGGGCGGGGTATTCGATTCCACATTCTGGTGGGGGGAAGGGGGGGAGGGAGAGAGGGAGAGAGGGAGAGTTTTTTTTGTTTAAATTCAGAGGGAGGAAGCGGCTTTGGTGTATAAAATAATGATTGGGAAATGGTGTTGTTGTTGTTGTTTTTAAATAGGGGTTATCTTTTATGGGGATTAAATATTCACAAGATCTATAAACATGAGTAGAACACACACAAGTAAACATACGTATGTAATTAGATCGATAGATTCATGTACATAT